CACATCTTGGGAAGAAACGAGAGAATCAAGCCCCGGCCAGAGAGATTTCAAGAGTGCAGCGATCGCTTCGATGTCATCTTTACGTGCGAGGAGAGCGTCTATGACAGAGTGGTGGCAGATCTGTGTGCCAGAGAACAAGAGACCTTGCAGCCCGTGCACGTGGTCAACGTGGACGTGAAAGACACCTTGAGGGGCGCCGCCCTTGGAGCTGTCATCATCTGTGAGCTCTGCCAGGGTCTGCAGGACGTGGAAGACTTGGAAGGCGATCTGGACAAGCTGCTCCTGGCAGTGGAGAAGAAAACAGGAAAGAGCTTTCTTCACACTGTCTGCTTCTACTGAAGAACTTGGCTGGTTCGGGCCCCTCGCTCGGTGAGAATTCGTATGTGGAGCTTTTGAGTAGTCCCGATTTCTGTGAGAAGCATCCACTCACTGCTGTTTTTACACTATTTAGGTGTGCCATGGGAAGAGGTCCGAACAAGAAAAGCATCTGGTGGGAAATGAGAAGAAGGATCACCACAGTCATCAAAACACTGCAAGTGTCGGGGATATTGGTCTAGGTACTTTGCAGGGAAGAAGTAATTCAGTGCTTACATTGCTCTGTAAGGAAGTTACCACCATGGACTCATCTTCCAGTGAGCAAATCAAAGTTCATAATGGAATGTGCTGGATAAGTGATTTAAGGATTTTCAGCAGAAAAAATGACATTATCTAATGTGTCCCTTTAAAACAAATTCTTTTTGTTCATTTTGTATGGTATATTAATTAGAAAGATTTTTTTAATTAGAAAGTCTTACGTTGTATTTTGAACTTATAAAAGTTTTTACTTTTAGATGTATCCCTTTTGATAATGACAGATTTTGTAGAAACCCAGATTAGATAATGGGCTCTATGTCATTCCTCAAATCAAGGACTTATCTGTTCAGTTAATAGCTTACCAAATGAGATGAAATGAAATGAAATAAAATGAAATAAAAAATACAATGACACAAGTGTATTCTTTTTTTATTCCGATGTGGGATGGATTTTATATTCTAAACTTGATTTCTTATTGTTCAAACCTTATGAATTACATGGAGAATAGCATTCTTTCATACTGAGAATTTCATTACAAATCTCATTGCATTCATTATTTCCAACATGGGATCCTCTGAGAATAATTCCAAGGATGTTTCCTGTTGGAAACATGATAACAAAATTAGCACTGAAACCAAAGCATGTGTGATTTACAGGATAAAAATAGAGTGGGGGTAGTTGGATATAGGTGAATTAATTTACATGCCATCTATTAAATAAGATTTCAGTTCAAACAATACTCTTTCTCCATGGAGTGTAGGCAGGATGGAGCAAGTATGGATCTGTAGGGGCCATGTAGTACAGCATTATCTGAGAAGACTGGAGCTTGGAGAAGGGTGATGGCTGTGGAAAGGTGGCGTAGAGGACAGATCAGAGGGAGATGCTGGAGTCGAAATGACTGGACTTGTGAGGAGGAGAGAATGAGGAATTTAGAATCATTTTCAGAGTTCTGCTTTTTACTATATGTGGCCCATGATGGAGTTTGTGATGAGTGATTTGTTGAAGGGCATTTATGGTGTAAAGGATATTACAGAGGTCATCTTATTATTATTTTTTTTCCCCGAGTCTTCTTTCTGAAGAATGTAGGGGAACATTTGTTTCCTTGACTTTCCTAGCTTTCAGAAACCAGACATTCCTTGATTCATGTCCTCTGTCTTCCATCTTAAAAGTCAGCCATGCCCGGTTGAGTCATTCTCACTTCATCTTTATTTCCAGTTCTGTTTCCCTTTTCCACATTTAAGAACCCTTGTAATTACATTGGGCCCAACCAGATAATTCAGGTTGATGTCACTAATTTATGGTCACTGGATTAGGAAATAAATTCTTCACAATATCTGAGTGTGTTGCTTCTGGAAATAAAGTGGAGTGAAACATTTAGAGGTCCCTAGGCATGTAAACATAGATGCTTTGTCATTGGCATAAATTTTTAGGACCTCCTTTGATTTCATTAATCATACAATAAAGTGGTAAATTAAAATGAGAAGTATAGGGCATCATTTTTAAAAGCAATTTCCTTTTGGCCATTTTAAGTGGTATATTAATTAGAAAGTGTCCTTTTCCTAATGAAAAAGGAATATATTAAATTTTTACTTGTAGATAGCTTTGGTTAGTGATTACATATACTTTTCTAATGCTGACTTCAAGACCTGAGTAAGAAAATGAATTTTATGTTATTGCTAAGGATTTGGGATTGAAACTAAGAAGAAGTAATCCTCAATGAAAAAAAAAGACATAATTTAATTTTGATAATAACTATGATTTTATATTTGGGGGCTGATCTTCAAACTCTTAAGCCACAATAGTTTAAGCTTTATCAATTAATCTGAATGAATAATTCTTTTCAGAATTGTTCTTGTAAAATGGTTATTAGTTTATCCAATTAGATTACTTGGTTGTCAGTGGTTGTCCATATGGCACAACATGAATATCCTCTTTGTTATTTTTTCCGTAGGTATCAAAGTTCCCACTTTGGCATTCCTTCATTGACAGTGCCTTAGCGCTCCTTCTGGAGCCATGTCCATGCACAGAGATTCAGAACTATAGGCATTAACACCCTACTGGGAAACTTCAGCCAGAGAATAAATTATTTTTTAAATCAAGATGACATTGAGACATAATTTTTATGATTTCTCAAGTCTAGTTTTGCAGATTGAACTTCTAGACACCTCTGCCACCTTGGTCAGCTCGATAACACATCTCTGTATTGGCTGTCCATCTGCTCCTTTACCTTTCTGACCCCTCTCCTGATCCTTGAGATTCTAACTGCAAGAAAACAGGGACTTCCATGAATATCCCAATGCCCTACTTAAGGTGCTCCTAACTCGATCTGAATGTACCAAATGTCACTACATTTACTGTGCTGCCAGGCTGTGCTCAGCACTGTATGGGGGAGACGTATCCCTTCTTCCATATGCTGTATATCTATAGTCCCATATCATCAAGGTTAACGTTCCAAAATCTTACCAAGTCTACCCAAAAGTCATCTTCTGCCTTCATTTCTCCTTGTTTCCTTGGAGTTGGTCTGGGGATCAGATGACCATTAGCCCTTTTCCTCTCTCTGTATTTTAAGCTCCAGGAGCTCACACTTGAACTATGAAGACCTCTTTTCCCTTGGGCTTATCAGCTCTTGAAAAATATACACCAATATTGGGAGAAATTAGGGGGAGCACTGACTACTAAATCTAGCATATGTATTCAGATTCTGAATCCCAATTTTGGCTTTTGTGCCTATCCTTTCAGCTGTACACTTTAACAATAAAGCTTATATATATCTACTTTGTGTGTTCACCTCCCATAGTTAGATTTCTTTCTGTCACCACATATTTGACCCCCTTTACCCCGTCTAACTCCCCTCAACCCCCGCTCCCTACCCTCTGGTAACCACTAGTCTATAGTTCATGTGCATGAGTCTCTGTTTGTATTGTTCATTTGTTGCTTTTAGGTTTATATCCCCCATATACGTGATATCATGTGATTTTCAACTTTTTCTGTCTGGCTTATTTTGCTTAGCATGATTATCTCGAAGTCCATCTATGTTGTCGCAAATGGCAATATTTCATCTCTTCTTATACCTGAGTAATATTCCATTGTGTATATAAGACAACATGGACGGATCTTGAGATAATCATGCTAGGCGAAATGAGCCAGACAGAAAAAGCTGAAACCACATGATATCACTTATATGTGGGATATAAAGCTAAAAGCAACAAACATGACAAATAAACAGAGACTCATGGACACCGATAGTGGACTGGTGGTTACCAGAGGGAAGGGGAGTAGGGGTCAAATATGTGGTGACAGAAAGAAGTCTAACTATAGGCAGTGACCATACAATGCAATATAGGTATGACTTAGTGTTGAATTGTACACTTGAAACTTACTGGATTTTGTTAATCAATGTCACCATAATATATTTAAAAAGTCATTAATGAACATACAAAAATTGAAAGCATATTATTTC